AGGCGCGGCACGGCCCGTGGCCCTCGCCACAGGGACAAACAAAAATGCACACGCCCGCGCGAGGCCGAGGCTCTCGTCCGCCCCGGGGCGGCGCCGGCGACCGCGGCGACGACGCAGACCCCCTCGAGCAATGCAAAAATCACGACGGGAGGTGTTTCACGACTTTCGGCCTCTCGGGGCCCTTACCGGGCCTCGGGACCGTCAAAAAGCGACTCAGGATGAAACACCGGTCCCGGGAAACAGGTCGAAAGCTTTGGGGTCGACGTCGACATGAAAGAATCATGACGTCAGGGGTCTGGGGACGCGGCGACGGGCTGCGCCGGCGGCCCCGACGGCGCCAGGGGCGACCGCTGCTCCTCTGGCTTGCCTGCCCTGCAAGCAGTGGCGAAGCGTCCTGGCTCGCCCTGTTTTCGTCGCTCCGAGTGGGGTCGGCCTGGACTGGGTGGGAGGATCCCGCGGCATCGCCGATGCATCGCCGAGGCGGCTCGAGTTGGAGCCCGATGTTCTCCACGCCGGCGGCCCCGATGCATTGCCGACGGCGATGCATGGGCGATGCGGCGCGATCCTCCGACCCCATCTATACTCGGACACCCTTTGGGAGGCAGTGGGTAGGGGATCACCAGTCCCTCTTGGAAGGCGAGGGTCGAGGAGGGAGGATCGTTCTTGGGCGTCTCTGGGAAGCTTGGGAGGTCCATGAGGATCCGCGTCCTGGAGGCGTTGGCGAATCCTTTTGTCAAGCAGAGGCGAAGCGTCCTGGCTCGCCTAAAGCCCTACCAAACAATGTTCCAAGATTTTTTGTGGTTTCCACGAAATGTTCTTAGAGCATTTCTGGCGGAGTCTGTTTTGTTTCATCACATCGGGCTTGTGTTCTAAGAACATTGTTTTTGTTATTAGAACAGAGCATTTCGTGGTATGACTATAGGAATGCCGGGACGGTCCATTCGGTCCCTGCTCAAGCCCTGTCTTCGCAGGCGATTTCTCTCCCCCAGTCCCTGAGTTACCCCCTCCGCCCCCTAAACAAAAACGGTCAGAGTTGAAAAAACACTCGGGGTTGCACCCCTGGAGCTTGGAGGAGGCTACTCGGACGCAGCGCCATTGAGGATGGGCGCTCCCTCGTAATCTGTCCCCGAGTCGGGCCCCCCATTGTCGTTCCCCCGTCGAGATCCAACCAAAGTCGGGGAATGGGGTCGCCATGCCCACCGTCATGTCTTTTCCAATCCGCTGCCCCATAGGTCTCTCGACCGCTTCCCGGGCGGGTTAGTCCTACGTCCCCGGCCAATGTTTTCGGGGAACGGGGTCGCCATGCCCACCGTCATGCCTTTTTCAGTCCACTGCCCCAGAGGTCTCTCGACCGCTTCCCCGGGGGTTAGTCTTGCGTCCCCGGCCAGTGTTTGCTGGCCCTGCCTGGGGCCAGAAGAGGGCCCTCGAGGACCCGGCTCCATTCGTCGGAGACGGTAGGGGCGTTGATGAATTCAGGAGTGTGTCCAGGAGGCTTCAGACCAGCAGGAAAAGAAACACACAGACACAATTAATCCTCGATGTCCCAGAAAATCTGGGAAAATATGGGAAGTGGGCGGGGAGACAGAAACCCAGAATATATGGGAAAATATCAGGGATCATTTTATTTGTGTGTATTTATTTGTGTGTCCTTGGGCCCCTTCATCAGACCGTGGAGGACTCCTTCTCTGATCAGGGCGGCATCGATATCCGTGGCCATTCCACGATTGGAGTTCCACTGGTTTCCAAACTCTGGATTCCTTGTCAAACTGGTTCTTCCTCCAACCCACACATCTGGCGTCTCGGTTTTTCCAGGCGCGGGCTCCCGAGCTCTCGATCCTCTCGCCGGGGCCCGGTTTTCAGCCCGAGCCGTCGCTTCACAGCCCCAGTCCGAGAACGATGAAAAGCCTAAGTTTCCATCTTTCCGAGACGGTGAACGCTTGGGAACGCCGGGCGGGGCCAGGACGAGGATGAATCCGTTCCAGAGCTCTCCGGAACGCTCTCGGAGCGCCTTATAGAGCGCTCCGGGAAGGCCGCGGTGCCCCGTGACATCTTCCAGAGCCGCCGCTCCTCCTTCTCCTCCTCCCCCTCCTCCTCCTCCTGGGCACAGATCCAGAGCGGACGGAATCCGTCCACTGCGGGCGGGAGCCATGCGGGTGGCGCATTTCGATACCACTTCCGCCACCGCAGGCTCGTCAGCAGCTGGGCTCGACACGACAAGAAACACTGCGTCGAGCACAGCAGGCAAGGCCTCACACCGTTGCGTGAGGAGACGACCCAGCCGATGGGCTGGGCGAGGCATGGACTGGAGCACCGACCGCCACGGTCGGCATGCTCAGCATGCGAAGGCTCAAGGCGCGCTTCCACGCGCCATCTAGCTTGAATTCACCACTACGCAGGCGGTCGAGGATTTGCCTGCGATCTTTCGAAAGCCTGAGGGGCTTACATTCTGCAGCTAGTGACACCACACGGGAGGTGGTGAACGAAGCACAGGACATGCAGC